CCTTTGCTTTACAGAAGCTTCCCAGTTTCAGTAGATCCCATTTATTCATTGTTTCTCTTATTGTCTGTGCTGCTGGGGTCCTACTTAGGAAGAGGCCTCCTGTGCCTAAATCTTGTAGACTACTTCCCACTTTCTCTTCTATCAGGTTCAATGTGGACAGATTAATGTTGATGTCTTTAATCCATTTGGACTTGAGTTTTGTGCATGGTGATAGATATGGATCTACTTTCATTTTTTTACAGGTTGACATCCAGTTATGCCAGCACCATTTGTTAAAGATGCTTTCCTTCTTCCATTGTATACCTTTAGCTCCCTTGTCGAAAATTAGGTGTTCATAAGTTTGTGGGTTAATATCTGGGTCTTCTATTCGATTCCATAGGTCGACTTCTCTGTTCTTATGCCAATACCAAGCTGTTTTCAATACTGTAGTTCTATAATAGAGTTTGAAGTCAGGGATGGTAATGCCTCCAGAAGTTCTTTTATTGTATAAGATTGTTTTGGCTATCCTGGGTTTTTTGTTTTGCCATATAAACTTGATTATTGTTCTCTCAAGGTCTGTGAAGAAGTTTGATGGGATTTTGATGGGGATTGCATTGAATCTATAGATTGCTTTTGGTAGAATTGCCATTTTTACTATGTTGATTCTCCCAATCCAAGAGCAGGGGAGGTCTTTCCATTTTCTGGTATCCTCCTCAATTTCTTTCTTCAAAGACTTAAAGTTTTTGTCAAATAGGTCTTTCACTTCCTTGGTTAGAGTAACCCCAAGATATTTTATGCTATTTGTGGCTATCATGAAAGGTGATGTTTCTCTGATTTCCCTCTCTGTTTCTTTATCCTTTGTGTATAGGAGGGCCACTGATTTTTTGGAGTTGATCTTGTATCCTGCCACGTTACTAAAGGTGTTTATCAGCTGTAGGAGTTCTTTGGTAGAGTTTTTGGGGTCACTTATGTAAACTATCATATCGTCAGCAAATAACGAAAGTTTAACTTCATCCTTTCCAATACGAATCCCCTTGATCTCCTTATGTTGTCTTATTGCTATTGCTAGAACTTCAAGCACTATATTGAAGAGGTATGGAGAGAGTGGACAGCCTTGTCGCGTTCCTGATTTTAGTGGAAAGGCTTTGAGTTTCTCTCCATTCAGTTTGATGTTAGCTGTCGGCTTGCTGTATATTGCTTTTATTATATTTAGGTATGATCCTTGTATCCCCAGTCTCTCCAACACCTTTATCATAAATGGGTGTTGAATTTTGTCAAATGCTTTTTCAGCATCTAGTGTGATGATCATATGGTTTTTTTCTTTCAGTTTATTTATATGATGGATTACATTGATAGATTTGCATATGTTGAACCAGCCCTGCATCTCTGGAATGAAGCCGACTTGATCATAATGGATAATTTTTCTAATGTACTCTTGGATTCGGTTTGCCAGTATTTTATTGAGAATTTTCGCGTCGATGTTCATGAGTGAGATTGGCCTGTAATTCTCTTTCTTGGTTGTGTCTTTGTGTGGTTTTGGTATCAGGGTAACTGTAGCTTCATAAAAGGAGTTAGGCAATGACTCTTCTGTTTCTATATTGTGGAATACGTTAAGGAGTATAGGTATTAGCTCTTCCTGGAAGTTCTGGTAGAATTCTGCATTGAAACCATCTGGTCCTGGGGTTTTTTTGGTAGGGAGATTTTTGATAACAGCTTCTAATTCTTCGTGACTAACAGGTCTATTTAGATTGTTCACCTGTTCTTGGTTAAACTTTGGTATATGGTACTTATCTAAAAAAATGTCCATTTCTTTTACATTTTCCAACTTTGTGGCATATAAACTTTCATAGTAAGATCTAATGATTCTCTGAATTTCCTCTGTGTCTGTGGTTATGTCCCCCTTTTCATTTCTGATCTTATTTTGCATGTTCTCTCTCTGCCGTTTGATTAATTTGGATAGGGGTTTGTCAATCTTGTTGATTTTCTCCAAGAACCAGCTTTTTGATTCATTGATTCTTTGGATTGTTTTCTGTGTTTCTATTTTGTTGATTTCAGCCCTCAGTTTAATTATTTCCAGTCTTCTAGACCTCCTGGGTGAATCAGCTTCTTTTTTTTCTAGATCTTTCAAGTGTGCTGTTAAGTCTCCAATGTGTGCTTTCTCCACTTTCTTTAATTGGGCACTTAGTGCTATGAACTTTCCTCTTAGCACTGCTTTCATAGTGTCCCATAGGTTTGAGTATGTTGTGTCTTTGTTTTCATTAAATTCAAGGAAGAGTTTAATTTCTTTCTTTATTTCTTCCTTGACCCAGGGGTGATTTAGTAGTTGACTGTTCAGTTTCCATGAGTTTGTTGGCTTCCTGGGGGGAGCATTGTTGTTGAATTCTAATTTTAGTCCGTGGTGATCTGACAAGACACAGGTAGTTATTAATATTTTTTTGTATCTGTGGAAGTTTGCTTTGTTACCGAGTATGTGGTCAATTTTCAAGAAGGTTCCATGAGCTGCAGAGAAAAAGGTATATTCTTTCCTATTTGGGTGGAGTGTTCTATATTTGTCTGTTAAGTCCATTTGATTCAATACCTCCAATAAATCTCTCAATTCTCTGTTTGGTTTCTGTCTGATTGACCTGTCCATTGGTGAGAGAGGAGTGTTGAAGTCTTCTACTATTAGTGTGTGTGGTTTGATGACCGCCTTGAGTTCTAGAAGAGTTTCTTTTACATATGTGGGTGCCTTTATATTAGGAGCATAGATATTCAGGATTGAGACTTCCTCCTGATGAATTGTTCCAGTTATGAGCATGAAATGTCCATCTCCATTTCTTCTGATTGATTTTAGTTTGAAGTCGATTTTGTTAGATATTAGAATGGCCACGCCCGCTTGTTTCTTAGGTCCATTTGCTTGGAAAACCTTTTCCCAACCCTTTACTCTGAGTAGGTGTCTGTCTTTGTGGTTGAGGTGTGTTTCTTGTAAACAGCAGAATGTTGGGTCCTGTTTTCGTATCCAATCTCTAAGTCTGTGCCTCTTTATAGGTGAATTGAGTCCATTGATATTAAGTGATATTAATGACCAGTGGTTGTTGACTTCGGTCATTTTTTTTTTTTTTTAGGTAGTAGAGTGTATGTGTTTTTCTTCTTTGATTTGTGCTTGTGAATGGTCGCTAGATGTTCGAGTTATTGTAGTCCGTGTTGGGAATGTTGGATTCCTTTGGTAGTGATTTTCCTTCTAATATTCTCTGTAAGACTGGATTAGTAGCTACGTATTGTTTAAATTTGTTTTTATCCTGGAATATTTTGTTTTCTCCGTTGATAGTGAACAATAGCTTGGCTGGGTATAATAGTCTGGGTTTGCATCCATGGTCTCTTAGTTTCTGCAGTACCTCTATCCAGGATCTTCTGGCTTTCATGGTTTCCATAGAGAAATCCGGTGTAAGCCTGATAGGTTTACCTTTATAAATTACTTGACCTTTTTCCTTTGCAGCTCTTAAAATTTTTTCTTTAATATTTATGTTTTGTGTTTTGATTATTATATGGCGAGGGGATGTTTTTTTCTGATCCAGTCTATTCGGTGTTCTGTATGCTTCTTGAACCTTCATAGGAATATCGTTCTTTAGGTTGGGAAAGTTTTCTTCTATAATTTTGTTGAATATATTTTCTGGGCCTTTGATCTGTAGTTCTCCTTCTTCAATCCCTATTATTCTTAGATTTGGTTTTTTTATTGTGTCCCAGATTTCCTGAATGTTTTGTGAAGAGAATTTGTTGGATTTGCCGTTTTCTTTGACCAGAGCATTTATTTTCTCTATGGTATCTTCAGATTCTGAGATTCGTTCTTCTATCTCTTGTATTCTATTGGTTATGCTTGATTCTGTAGTCTCCGTTCGTTTACCTAGGTTTTCCATATCTAGCTGGTTCTCGGTTTGTGTTTTCTTCATTGCCTCCATTTCAGTTTTCAATTCTTGCACTGTTTCCTTTACTTGTTTGATTGTTTTTTCTTGGTTTCTCAGGGTCTCATTCACGGATTTACTTATTTCTTCAAACTTTTTTTTATATTTGTCATCTATTTCTATACTCATTTCTTCAAACTTTTTGTTATATTTCTCATCCAATTCTTTAAGGGAGTTATTCATATCCTGTTTAAGGGACTCTATTGCTTTCATAATGGCACTTTTTTCCACTTCTTCTGGGTTAAGGTGTTCAAGCCCTTCTGTTGTAGGGACCTTGGGATCTGGTGTTTTCATGTTGTTTTTCAGATTGTTGGATGAGGTCTTGCCTTGGCGTCTGCCCATCTCTTACTTCAAATGTTCTCTATTGGAACTTCTGTTACCAGGTCAGGTTCCCTTCTTGGGCAGGGACTTCACTGACAGAATGCCCACCTTTCCTCAGGCAAGCTATTGAAGCACAGGCACTCCCTCTTTCCTGGATGCGCTTACAATGCAGGCTCAGCTTGCAAGGCAGCTGAGCTGGGGAAAATTTTATGGCCCCAGGGGGAAGGGAGAAATATAGGAATTTGTACCTGGATGGGAGCTGGGATGGCAGGCGGGAGGGGGTAGCCAGCACTGCAGGGCGACCTGGGCGACTGTGGGGTCTGGGCACGCCAAAGCTCTTCTTCACCAGGACCCTGTCAAGGCCTGAAGCAAACTCACCCCTCCAATGGCCCTCTGCTTGAAGTCAGGGCCCCTGCTGGTCAAGAATGTGGCTGAGCTGGCACCTGGTCCACCTGTCCTCAGGGAGGCCTTTAAGACCCAGGAACTGCCTCCAGCCGGGCTGCGCCTACAGCCCAGGCCCAGCTTGCAAGGCAGCTGAGCTGGGGAAATTTTATGGCCCCAGGGGGAAGGGAGAAATATAGGAATTCGTACCTGGATGGGAGCTGGGATGGCAGGCAGGAGGGGGTAGCCAGCACTGCAGGGCGACCTGGGCGTCTATGGGGTCGGGGAACACCCAAGCTCCTCCTCACCGGGACCCTGCCACGGCCCGAAGCAAACTCACCCCACCGATGGTCCTCTGCTAGAAGTCAGGGCTGGTATTGCTTTCTTGTCTTCCGGAGGGAAGATTTTGACTTCAAAAGTAACAAAATATTTGAGAAGGGAATTTACATCTTTTAGTTCTAAATGGTACTCCTGGGCAATTTTCTCGGCAGTCCATGTTTCTGAAGAAAGTTTATGGTTATTGAGAAGTGTCAATGCTTCTACAACAGAAACTTTGCCTTTGGGAATGTCCATGACATTCTTATCGAACTGCTGTCCGATAGGCAGCCTGAACTCCTTCGGTTCTTGCCACTGTACTTCAGCATCTTTTACCGGCAAGGACGACACTGGATCTTTGGAATCGACATACGTATCTTTTAGTAATGACAACAGCTTGTTATCTTTCCTAGAAACTTCTTCTTTGATTTCTGGATGCTGACTCAGCTGCTCCTGCAGGAGGATGCGGGTGGAAGGGTGCTTGGGAGCCGTGGAGGGCTTCATCTTGCTGATCTCCCGCTCGTTTCGGTTCTCCAGGTTGAAGTTCCTGAAGGCGCGGCTCACGCGAGCCCCCATCTCTACATCCTGCAGCCCTGGGCTCACCGCACACGTGGGGAGCCGCCAGCGCGGGTGACCTCTGTGCCAACTTATTGGTTTTAAAATGTAGTTAGAAGGGCTTTGTATTAATATTGTTATCAATATTGCCAACATATTTAAATATATTAAATTGTTTTCTCATAAGACAGAGTCTCTCTATGTAGTCCTAGCTGTTCTGAAACTTACTGTGTAGACCAGGCCAGCGTGAACTCACAGAGATCCTCCTATCTCTGCCTCCCAAGTACTGCGATTAAAGGCATGTGTCACCATGCCCAGCTAACTTAATAAAGTTAAGTTTATTATTTTATTTATTGCATTTAATCTTTCAATTGTTTGAACTTACTCTGGGGAAAGAACTGTTTAATCAGATAAATATTTTAAAAAATGAGATGTGTCTGAATTCTCAATTCTTGTTTTGCTTTAATGGGAAGGAAACTCCTTCCTTCCAATGTTTTACTATAATTCTTCTAATTGTTAGACTATTACTCATTTATACCATATAATTAAATTTGTATAAAGTGAAATATTTTAGTTCCTTAAAAATAAGAACAAAAAGAATCAAACATTAGTTGCTGAATAAGTTAGATTCTCCTTCACCTTTTAATATTTGTGCTAATGCGAGCGTTAGAATCCTTGACTTTGATTGGTTAGACTTGGGAGGCCTGGTGTTGACTGTCACTGCCAGCATGAAAGTGGTGCGGCTGTCTTGCAGCTCCAGTTCCTGATCAATGAGGTAAGATACTTTTTCACTATTTCAAACACATGCACAGAGTATTTTTGATTATCTAAATCAAATATATGCACGTATTCACACAGAGTATAACAGATTGAGTATTCCTTATCTAAAGCAGTTGGGTCGACAAAGTCTATGGATCTTAGATTTTAAATTTTTGAATATCTGCATATATATTGAGACACCTTGGAAAAGATACCTACATCTAAATATTAAATTCATTTATATTCTTTGAATACCTTATACACATAGTTTGAAGGTAATTTTGTATATATTTTTCAATGCTCTTATATTTTGAATTTAGTCACAGTAGATTAGATATGGAATTTTCCCTTTGTGGACCTGTTTAACTTTTGGAGCATCTAGGGTTTGTATATTTGGATATTCAACCTGTAGTTGATATAATTCTTTTTGATATTATGATTTTAGATGCTTAAAAATAGATATGTATATATTTTTACTGGTATTCACATTTTTCATATTCCTATATTAAATTTAAAATCTCATAGGAAATACTAAATTTAATATAAAACATTAAATTTAAAATCTAAATCTGAATTTAATACTAAACTTGGTAAGAGAAAAGCATTTTGTCTATCAAAAGATCGTTTTATTGTGATTGTGTATCATAATTTTAAAATTTATTTAATATTTTTCTAAATCATTAAGCTTTCTTTCTACTCACTCTCTTCTCCCAATTTAAATGTTTTGCTTGTATCGAAGTTGAAAGTATATTCTTACTTACCAGTAGGCTTTTGTGTGTATAATCCGTGCATCTTTTATCTGTTTGTATTATGTTTTTAATGTGAGATATTTGGGACAATTAAGAAAGGAAGGATTGTGACTTAATAGTGATGTGTTTGTGTTAGTTGACAAGGGGTCAGTTGTGCCAGCTAGTTTTATGTCAACTTGGCACAAGATAGAGTTACCTGAAAGGAGGAAGCCACAATTGAAAAATACTTCCATAAGGTCTAACTGTAAGGAAATTTCTTAATTGGTGATTAATGGTGGAAGGCCCAGCTCATTGTGGGTGGGGCTTTCCCTGGGCTGGCCCTCCTGGGTTCTGTAAGAAAGTTGGCTGAGCTAGGCAGTAAGCAGCATCCCTCCATGACCTCAGCAGCATCAGCTTCTGCTTCCAGGATCCTGACCTGTTTGAATTCCTGTCATGGCTTCCTTTGAGGACGAGCAGTGCTGTGGAAATAGAAGCCAAATACATTCTTTTGTTTTTGATTTAGGAACTGTTTTAGAAAGACATTTAGATCTGTCTTTCTGGACAAGAAGTGAACTTGAAAATTTAAAAATAGGTTTAAAAATATATTTAAAAATATATAGACTATAAATAAGAGAGTATGTGTTACTGAGGTTTTAAACTGTGAAAGATTATCTGTAGCAAAGTTGTTTGGGAAATATATAAAGCGTTTTAGGCATCTCAAGATCATCATGCATCTGCCAGATAGCTATTAGAGAACATTTAGTACTTAGGGTAGCTTTAGGTGTCATTTCAGTGAGGAAGGTAGTACTACAGTAAAAGTTCTGATATACTTCAGATGATCTTTAGATGTGTGTATAAAATTAAATGTGACAGTTATCTGCACATATGCTTTCTGTTACTTTCAATGGTAGAACATATTCTATTGTATTTGAGATAGGATTAATTTGTAATTGGTAGTCTAAGGTAAAGGATTTTATTATTATTTTTATAGTTATACCTAATTCAAGGTGAAGAAATATTTTATTGTAGGTATTTTTTAAATATTACAGATAAAACTTTTTAGATTGTAAGTAGCAGGTCAAATTATAGAATACATAATTTTAAGAAACAATGCACAATTTTTAGATAAAAGATACTTTCAGAGGATAATCTTACATGATCTGTATTTGATTAATAAAAATGGGTTGGGTATTTGCTTCTCTAGTATTGAAATTATATATTATTTATGTTCACAGTAGAAACAAAAATTGAATTCCATATTTTTAAAGGAAATAAAAGAAAAACCCTTTAATAGTCAGAGTGATGCTGCCCTAGTTTGTTTTAGCTGCTGTGATAAATATCTTTTTTTTCAAAGTTTATTAAATTATAAAAGTTTCCATTTCCGCCCCCCTCCCAACACTCTCCCACTCCCCCCACTACCTCTCCTCCTCCCTCTCCATCCCTAAGAGCAGTCAGAGTTTCCTGCCCTGTGGGTAGTTCAAGTTCCTCCCCTCTCCCTCCAGGTCCAGGAAGGTGAGTATCCAAACAGACTGGATCCCCAAAATCCAGTATATGCAGAGGAGACAAGTCCCAGTGTCATTGTCAATGGCTTTTCAGAAAGACTCCGGGCCAGCCACATTCAGAGAATCCGGCCTCATTCAGAGAATCTGGTTGGATCACGTGCTTGTTCAGTCCCAGTCCAACTGGCCTTGGTGAACTCTCATTAGATCCGTCCCCTTGTATCAGTGGGTGATCGCACCCCTCGCGGTCCTGGTTTCCTTTTTCATGTTCTTCCTCCTTCTGCTCCTCATCTGACCACTTTGAACCAGATAGAAGAGAAAGTGGGAAGTAGTCTACAAGACATAGGCACAGGAGACCACTTCCTAGGTAGAACCCCAGTAGTACAGACAATAAGAGAATCAATGAATAAATGGGACCTCCTGAAACTGAGAAGCTTCTGTAAAGCAAAGGACACCGTCAATAAGACAAAAAGGCTACCTTCTGACTGGGAGAAGATCTTCACCAACCCCTCATCAGATAAAGGCCTGATCTCCAAAATATACAAAGAACTCAAGAAACTAGACACTAAAACTCTAATTAACCCAATTAAAAAATGGGGTGCTGATCTGAACAGAGAATTCACAACAGAACTTCGAATGCTGTGATAAATATCATGACCAAAAGCAACTTGGAGAGGAATTGTTTGATTTCATCAAATAGGTTGTAGTCCATCATTGAGGGAAGTCAGAGCAGGAGCTCCCTCAGGGAAGTAACTAACTGAAGAGGTAACTGAAGTGGAGGAATGCTTCTGACTGGCTTGCTCCCCTGCTGGCTCATGCTCAGCTAGCTTTCTTATAGAACCTGTGACCACTTGCCTAAACGGGGGGCACTGCTTATAGTTTTCTGGGCTCTCCCACATATATTAGTAATCAATAAATACGCTGCAGACATTCCACAGGTGGATCTGATGGAGGCATTTTCTCAGATGAGGGCCCTCCACTCAAGTGACTCTATTTGTGTCAAGCTGATAATAAGACCTAATCAGTATGGATGGCTTATTGATTATTCCTCTCAGTAAAAGGGTATTTCTGAACAAGTCATCCTGGCCATCCTCATGTAGTAAGCCACTTGCCTCTCCAACTCAACAACCTTAAACTTTCATACTGTAATTTCCTTCTTTTTTTCTAGGCTACATAAGTACATATCTATTCAATCATCGATAAATCTATAAATTTGTTTCTGCTGTCCTAGTAGATAAGCTATATATTTTGTCTTCTTTTCTCACAGGGTGCTTTGGTTAGTGCGAGTTCAGATGACACACTTCATTTGTGGAATCTGAGACAGAAAAGGCCAGCCATTCTTCATTCTCTTAAGTTTAACAGAGAACGGTAAGAACCTTTGTGAATAACTGTATGATGTGACAGAACTGTATCTCGAGGAAGTTTCATGCTAGTTTGACAGACTTCTTTTATAAATCTAAGCTATTGCCAGATTTTTTTCATAGAAAATGAATAATTGGGATAGATTCAGCCACTTACGAAAATGTGAAATGCCTAAGCCTTTTGTTCTCTGAGCTATTGAACATCACTTCAGCAATCATATTTTCTTTTCCCTGGGCTATGGCAATGAAAACATAGACATAAGATTTAAAAATCAAGTAAAAGCAAATTTAGTTCACTTATTTTTTTTTATTTCAGATATCTCCAGCTTTCCAGCCATTACGCTCTTATCTAAATACTTTTTAGCAATAATATCATTCCAATTAAACACTGAATTTTAGCATTGCCAAAGATGATGCTTTAATAAAAATTCAGTTCCCCTCATTTTATAATGATCATAGCCAGGGGTTTATTTGAATGGAAATAGGTTATTTTTTGTAATAAATTGTATCACATTTTAATATTTCCAGTGTTTGATTCAATTAGACCTAGACCTATGCAGTCCAGTTAACTAAGAATCATCAGTGATCAAGTAAACACTGAGATGTACATTAACTATCCAGAGTAGTCTATCTACTATGTGGGAAGCGACTAGACTTTTTTTTTTTTATAGTAAATGGAAAAGCACACCACAGGATAATTTGATGTTAAAGAGAGGAAGAGAAACCTTTGAGAAGTGAATTTAAACAGATTGACACCATTCAAACCAAGGTAGACACCGGAGGAGAGCAGTTTTGACCCAGAGCTATTTGCAGATGATATGATAGTGTACATAGTGATCCCAATAAACAAATCTTAACATAAAATTATTTTGTGTGTATTCACTGCTACAATATGGAGATACAATTAAGTTTTGAATGTTGATTTTGTAATTTACATTTCACTAAACTCACCAAAGTGTTTCAGGTTCAGACAGATGCATGTACATAGGATCTATGTGGTAGGGCAGAATATCTCCGAAGTGTCCATGTGTCTGTGCTTGTTGAAATGTTCTGTTCTCACCATCTGAGTTCTTCATCTTATCTATAAATGGTCTTAATGGGACTTAGTAGTATGCTATGAACAGAGACATATATGTCTTCTGCTACTTCTCCCCACACCATTATTACCTTGCGTTTTCATTGTTTATTGTCTATCTTCCAAAAACTTAGCCTCATGTCTGCGGACCTGTGCTTAGAAGTACCCATGCTTTAAGCCGGGCGGTGGTAGTGCACACTTTTAATCCTAGCACTAGGGAGGCAAAGGCAGGTGGATCTCTATGAGTTCAAGGTTAGCCTGTTCTAAAGAGCTAGTTCTGGGATTGACTCCAAAGCTACACTGTCTTGAAAAACAAAACACAAAGCAAAAAAGTACTTATGCTTTGTTAAATTTTCTGCTCTCGCTGTCCTGACTTTCTAAAATAATCAAACCTTTTCATTTGACTTTTGTAAGTGATCTAGTTTAACAGTAGAACATATTCATAAACAAAGAAATGTGACAACAAGCTCCACCATGTTTTGCCGTGTTGTTCACATATAGTGCTGTGATATTTTTGATTCTAAGGTAATCATGGTGTTTATTTTTAAATAAGCACAAGGCGGAGTGTCAGGTCTGTAATAGAGAAAGCAGACAACCCTGAAGGGAGGGCCTGTGTTGTTGCTTTTATGTTAGTTTGACACAAGTTAGAATCATTTGGGAAGAAGAATTCTCAGTTGAGAAGATGCCTTCACAACATTAGGCTGTAGGTAGGCACAGAGTGCATTTTTTTAATTAGTAATTGATATGGGAAGGCCCAGCCCATTGAGAGTGGTGTTACTTCTCATCTGGTGATCCTGGATTCTATAAGAAAGTAGACTGAGCAAGCCATGAAGAGCAAGTCAGTAAGTAGCACTCCTCTATAGCCTCTGAATCAGTTCCTGCCACTAGGTTCATCCCTTGGGTTCTTGCCCCAACTTGCCTGGATGATGAACTTAAAACTATAAGTAAAACAAACCCTTCCCTCCTCAAGTTGATATTGGTCGTGGTGTTATGTCTTAGCAATAGCAACTGCAACTAAGACAAGGCCCCTAACTAAGACATGACCACAGCCCCTAACTAAGACAGGCCCCTAACTAAGACACAGTTCCTAACTAACTCAGGGACCATAACTAAGAAAAGGCCCCTAACTAAGACGGGGCCCCTAAGATAGAGCCATAGTTTTTATACAGAATACAGTTTGCTTCAACTAAAAAAAAAAAAGATGACAGTGACATTCTAAGAATTACTCTATATTATTGCTTTTCATTCATGTTAATTTCCTCTACCTGATGAGAATAGTTGCGGTCACCTAGCTTATCATAATGACACAGAAAAGTTATAGAGCAACCACAATTTGTTTTTCTTCCAAATCCTCCCCGCATATTAGGAAGCAAATGTTGATGTAGTGTCGGCATGTAGGCATCAGCAAGTGAAAGAAAAGTACATTCTAGCTCACAATATGCTTGTGCTTTGGCAAGAACCATATAAATATTATAAGATATAAATTATTTCAATAACTAAGAATATGAATTATGTATATCATTTTGTTTGGATTTGAAAATTCTGGGACACAAATTAAAAATGAGTGTTAATTCATTTTGAGACATAAATTTTAAATTTTTTTTTTATTTAGAAAAACAAAGATGAAAAGTCAAGAGAGAAACTACTAAAGAAAAAGTTTTATATTTTATTACTCATTTTCTTTGGTTTTGAATAAAACCCCCTACAGTTATATTTTGCACTTGGCCTTACAATTTATGAATCAGTCTTAGTTCTAGGAATTTGTTTTGTAGGCTTCTTGAAATCTTGCACCGAAAAAAGCATGTAATCTGAAAATAGAGAAAAATATATAACTTAAAATTATAAGATTATTGTTATTAAACTACCTTTTCCTGTCTTAACAAACTTCCTAGATAATGCTACATGTCAATTGTAAGAATGGGCAGCCTTGCTTTTTTCTGTCTTAGGTGAAAACATTAATTCACCCTTTACCACTGAGTAAAATATTAGTTGTATGTTTTAGCAAGTTAAGAAAATGTTTCTATATTACTAGTTCTTTGAGTTTTTAAAATCATGAATGACAGTTTGTGTTTGAATTTAAACCTTTCCTCTATATAGATTCCATTTGTATGTTTTCTATAATAAATTTGAAATCACTTACTGCATAGTTTTTGTTTTAAATTGAAATAATTAGGATACCTTATGCTATTTATTCATTTGAATTTAATTTGATATTCTTATTCATTCTGGTCCTCTAAATTGACAGCTTCCATGTTTCATTGTGTTTAGGATTTTGACTGTTGGCTATTATACATCTGATTTGGGCTTATCTTATAGTGGTCAGCTTTATTATCATTCTGTATTGTTTTTCACCAGTTAGCTCAGGAAAAGCACCAGTCACAGTGGTCTGGAACCTCCCATATGAATCCTTAATCAAGAAATGTCCACAGGCTTGCTTATAGGTTGATCTGATGAGGGCATTTTCTCTATTGAGGGTTTTTTTTTCCCTCAGATGGCCCTGGCCTGTGTCCAGATAACAGTAAGCAGCATGCTATTGGTCTTTTCTTTAAAATTCAGGTAGTTTTATTTTCTTTGAAATGATTATATTGCCATACTCATATTTATGCTTTTTCATTTTATTTTGTTCATATTTGATTTCCCATAGTTTCTTCTCTCATCACTCTTGGCAGGAGCCTACAGAAGGTAGAGGATATCAAATCCCCTGACACTGCATTTAAGGTGGTGTGAGACACCTGATGTGTGCTGGGAACTAAACCCATGTCTTCTACAAGAGCAGTAACTGCTCTTAACCACCAAGCCATCTTTCTAGACCCAGAATTGGCATTTTGTTAACAAATTCTTCGTTTTTCCTTGTCTGATAAAGTCATGATTTTTCCTTTACACCTGAGAAACTGCTTTGCTGAATATTGCATTCTTGTTTTAAGTACTTCGATACCATCCTGCTTCCTTCCAGCTTCCATGGTTTTTGATAACAAATATGCTGTCATTGTTTACCTCCAATCCTTGTATAGTATGGTGTGGTTTTTCTCTTGGTTCTTTCAAAATCTCCCCCCCCCCTTTTTCTCTCTTTTTTTCCTTCCCTTTTCCATCTTTTTTCTCAATTCCCTTCCCAGCCTTTTTTTCTTTTCTTGTCCCCTTCCATTCCTTTCTTTTCCCCATATTTCCCTCTTTTTCTACTATTTTCTTTTTGCCCTCTCTTCTTTGTCCCTCTCTTCCTCCCTCCATACTCATTCTCACAGCTTTTCAGGTATTTATTTGACTAAGATCTTCCCTAGGTCTTATTTCATTCATTCCATTCTTTTTGTGTAGTTCAGTTTCTTAAATTCTTTGACACACAACTTTTTTCAAATTAGGTGAGTTTTTATATATTATTGTTTTGATTGTTTATTTTAGATTCATAGTTTCAATGTTGTTTATTTGTCCTCTACTTGAGGTTTGCCTGTGTCTTAGTGTAATGAATGACTTTTTATTCATTACCTAAGCTCGTTAGGCATTATGTTATAAAATTCTTAAACCCTAAAGAAATTTGTGTTTCGTAGGGTTTTACATTTCTTTGGTTGATATGTGAGGTAAGGAGAGGTACTTTATATTCTTTTGTGGAGTGGAGTTTATAGCTTTCCACTCCACCTCCACCTTTGCCAGTCTTACGTAGGAATACTTCACTGTTGCTCTTCCCACAGCCTCACAGACCTGATTCTCTCACCCATAAATCCAATAGTTAAGATATTTAAGTGAAGTTACAAACCATTGCTCCCATTTATAGTAGAAGCATGAAAATAAGCTTTATGTACTTCCTCTGCCACAAAACTCTCTGTGCATTCCTTGGTAGAGCTGAAAGGGAGTAGTCATTTGTTCATTTGTAAAAGGTTTCAAGTCTTTGAAAGAGAGGTCTCCAAATTTTCTGAAGAACTGTATAAGTAGAAATACTGCTT